TGACACATTATTCTAGATTACACAATTTAATCAACTACACAAGACTTACATAATCCACTCTATAACAAGCCATACCATCATCCTCCTATGGCCAAGAGCAAAACCTCTACTAGTAATTAATATAAAGCTTCATAATTAAAACAAGATAGGTCTCATATCATCCCTCAACTATCAACATGACATATAGAATATTAACTTGGCAATTTGGTTCATTATTCTTCAACGATAAGAAATAGTGAAGTCCTTGCTCTTCTCAATTTCTCAACGAATATAATAAAACTCAAATTCATGGTACTCATTTCATGTTTTTAATTCTAAATAATTACTATAGATCATCAACTATTACGACATTGCTTTTAATTCACACTACATCAATTCTCAATAATCATTCAATTTCCTTCTCTACCCATTTTACTTTGTTAGTTCACTTACTAAATATAACTCGACAAATGTTTAAAACATCAAAATTTATCTCTTTACTCAAACTCATTAAATAAACAAAATTAGGGCTTTCCCCTTTCAAACAACATAGATGGGTCCTGTTACCCCAAAAAGGTCAATAGTTAACAATAGACATGAGGTTGAACACTAAAACTGGAAAACCTTAACCCTCACTTACATGCTTTTTTAGAAAATTTCATAACAATCATGTTTTCATATAATAAAAGTACGACATGTCTATCTATAACGAAGTATTGAAGATCAAATAAATTCCTACCTCAAAACAAAAAGAAAAAGAAGAGGAGTAAAAATCCCAAAAGTCGAAAGTGGCATAACGATGATCCATCCAGATTAGAATGAAGCCCTCGACATGCTCTATAATCTATCTCAAAGGAGCAAAGTAAGGGGATTACCATATGTGAGTAGATCTGAGGATTTGTGTGAAAAAGAGTTGAGAGAGAGAGAGAGAAAAGTGAGTTACGGTGTAAAATGGGAGAGAGAGAGAGAGAGAGAGAGAGAGAGAGAGGAAGGTGTAAAAGGGCCTATATATACTAGGACAAGTGTGGAATATTTGCCCCAAAGTCAACTAAGAAAATAAGTCAAAGATCCCAAAAAGAAAGGCCTAAATCGTAGCTAAAATTCTGGGTTTTCTGTTAAGTGTAGACACCTCCAGAAGGGGTGTCAATACCCTTAAGCAGTGACGTTTCAAATATGTTTAAAACATGTCGGGTGTGATACCCCTGTTCCGTATTATGCTAATTTATCCTCCTTATGCATATGATTATGTGTTTGATATGATTTTGAGTGCTATTTATATGAATATATGTGGTTTGGAATTTCTATCTGTTCACCGCAGAAATATCTGTTTGATTATCTGCTTTGGAATTTAAATTGAAGGCCTTATCGGCCACGAAACCCGAAAATCGATTACGCCATTGTGATTAGTGTAATTTTTAGAGCCTACGGTGAAATTTAATTGGAAATTGATTCGGATCAGATTAATTTGATTAATTTAATGGGTTAGTGCTCAACTATTTTAATATTAATGAAATTTGATCAAAAGAGCCTATTAATAGGCCAACTTGCACTCACCCTCATTTGTTTGAGTTCCAAAATCTGAGCTTATACTCTAGTGAGAGAGAGAGAGACCGGCTATAGAGAGAGAAACGAGGAGAATTGTGCAATTTTGGCTCAAGGCTTGGAGATTTGAAGTTTAACTCCAAAGAACTTGAGTGTTTGAAGCTCCTAGGTGAGTGACCAACCCCTAATTCATGAGTTGAACTTGTGATTTTGTGAATTCTAGTGATTTTGGAGCTCATGGCAACGATTTAGTCGAAAATGAAGCTAGAATGTACATGCATGCATAGAATTATCATAAATAAGCAAGGATTGTGTAATCTATCATGTAGTTTGTTAATCATGAAGAACTGAGTTGTAGGGCCATACATGCAAGCATGATTTGGATGAATTTCATGTGTTTATGCATCATTTGACCCAATTGAAATGGAATTGGAGTTAAAAGATTGCATGCATGTTTGATTGTTGAAGATATGAAGGTCATATGGGATTTGAAAGCATAAGCCATGATTGTGCAAGAATGTTGATTGATTTTGGAAAAATGAACCATGATTTTGAGTAATTAGCTTCATATTATTTGTGTACCCCTGAAATAGAATGTGTTTGCATGTTTTGAACCAAAATCATGAGCTTTGGAACCTTTGAATGTTGAAATTTTGGCTCAAGAACATTTCTAGAAAATCCAGAATTTTTGGTGTCCGCTCGAGCGTGGGAACTACCGCTCGAGCGGGAAATACGTGCTCCCAGAACTTTTTGCAGACATGGTGTCCACTCGAGAAGGCAAGTTCACGCTCGAGTGGGGAGCTATGTAAACAGACCTTCAGCTCGAGCACCATACTTCACGCTCGAGCGTAAATTCGATGCATCCAGTACTTTTACAGACCTCATGGGTCCGCTCGAGCGGGGAAGTCCACGCTCGAGTGGGGACCCTGTTTTCTGAAATTTTGAAAATGCATTATGTGTTCCGTTTTCCGTTCCCTTTCACTTCTGAGTACTCTTAGGCATACATTGAGCATTGTAAATGAGTTAGAAGAATAATAATTAAGCCTAAAGAGGAATATGTGAATTAAGGACGGATTGAATCGGTTGTGACCCATATGTGTTATGTGATGTGTAGGGTCAAGCTCCAGGACAAATCAATTAGCCGATCACTGTGAGTAATATCTTAACGGAGATATCTGAAATATGTTGTTGTCCAATTGCTTACTTCTATGTAAGTTTTATAAATTCATTGATTCGATTGGTGGACAATGTTTGCTATACCAAATGATTGGGCCAGAGGCCATTTTGACATGAATGAATAGGCCGAAGGCCGTTTTGTCATGAATAAATGGGCCGAAGGCCGTTTTGGCATGAATGAATGGGCCAGAGGCCGTTTCGACATGAACGAATGAATGGGCCAAAGGCTAGTTTGTCATCTGAATGGGCCAAAGGCCGTTTTGACACAATTGAACGAATGAATGGGCCAAAGGCCAGTTTGCCATCTGAATAGGCCAAAGGCCGTTTTGACACAAATAAAAGAATGAATGGATGGGCCAGAGGCCGTTTTGAAAAGAACAAATGGATGGGCCAGAGGCCATTCTGACAGGAATGAATGAATGAGCCAGAGGCCGTTTTGACATGAATGAATGGGCCAGAGGCCGTTTCGACATGAACGAATGAATGGGCCAAAGGCTAGTTTGTCATCTGAATGGGCCAAAGGCCGTTTTGACACAAATGAACGAATGAATGGGCCAAAGGCTGTTTTGACACAAATGAAAGAATGAATGAATGGGCCAGAGGCCGTTTTGACATAAATTAATGGGCCAAAGGCCAGTTTGACATGAATGATAGCTTGACACGAATAACAGTTTGACATGAAAGTGTGAATGGGCCAAAGGCTAGTTTGACCTGAATGATACGAATGAATTGGGCCTGAGGCTATATGATGTGTTTGGAACCGCAGTTACTTAACTTACATATGTCTATGTATGTATGTATGTATGTATTAGTTAGAAATGTAAATTCGGCCCAAGGCCGTTTGTCGTATATTGTTCCAATGTATATTCTTTATTTGATATTATTCACTGGGCTTTCGCTCAAGCTCATTCATGTGTTTATAGGTGAGCCAAGAGAGGTCCAGACCCAGCCTCAGTGAAGTCTGTATGGAACAACTAAGGTTTTGAAGAGTCAGCCCATGCGTCTCACGTACGAGACACGTCTTCGCCCTTTTGCCATTCTATACTATTTTGCATGTTGGCGAGGACTTTGGTTTACAACTGTGTATAGTTTTGTTTGGCTGACTTAGATTTGAATGATCCTGTATGTACAGAACTTTATGTTACTGTAATTTCTGCTGTGAGTTATTAACATATGTATGTATGGAATGTTATGATGTGCATATAAGCACGGCTCTATGGACAAAATTTTAAATTTGCTTCCGTTTGGCCCCTTTGCTCTGATGAGTTTTGTCTTTTTTTGTTTTGAGGTCATAGGTAATCTCGTGATTACTGGCCGGTTATGGCCTTAACCCATAGGGGCGGGTTTGGGTCGTAACAGAGTCGGGTGTCGACACCACCATGCCCCGTGTTGAGACCAAAAAGTAGTCTTGAAAATTTGGTACACAGCTCTAGCAATGTTGACACTAGGAAGGGATGGTGTTGAACCCAGAAAGCAAAAAAAAAAGAGAGAAAAAAAGAAAGAAATGTTGGTGTTGACACCCTGAATAGAATTTCAAGGTTCTAAAACACGTCTTGGATAAAACCAAACAAAAAAATACATCTCAATCAAGTCTAGATCGGATTACTACTCAACAAATACAACGACACACCAAAACAAAGACCCCAATAACAAAAGTAATGGAATTCTATACACTCTTGAATGGCTTAAAGAATATAGGCCTTACAGAGATCTTGTGATACCGTTGTACCAGATTGATCCGATCTTTTATTGGTTTTGCAATGAAGATTTTCTTCCTAATAAAGAAAAAAGGTCTATTTAGAATTGTTTTCATTTTTGATGTTTTCATTTCATCTTTGTTTTCGTTTGTAGTGTTCTCAAAAAATAAAAACAGTGAGAAGTTCCAAAACACCCATCAAACTGTAAATATCTTTCATGCATTGCATTTTTAAACTTTCTGTTTTTATTTTTATAATGGCTTGATGAGAAGATACCAGAGAAAATTATGGATCTAAAATGGTGTTAGAATTTGTTGATGTCTCCAGAAACCATCTTGTCAAGTGAAATTCCTCAAAGAGCATGGCTCAACCATCATGTCCTCTCATACATATAACCACATCCACTTGTTAAGAAGAAGAGGGAAATTTTTTTATATTGCAGTACCCACTTTGTTCTTGTATATATATCAAGTTCTTTGAGTAAGCCTATTACTAGATTTTTCAAAACCACAAGAAGTAGGAGATAAGAAGAGTATTTATGTTTCTCAATAGCACATAGGAAATAATCTCATCTTTGTGTATACAATTTAACAAAAATGTTCGAAAGCAGGATGTGACATGTTCCGGCAAAACATAATTGCCAAAAAGCATTGGAAATATGGCAGAAGAACGAGTGCATAATGGAGTATTACATTACCCTACATGGTTCACTATTTGACGATCCATTGCAACCAAAAAAACACAAATATTAATTGTAAAGCTCATAACAAATTAATTAACAGGTAGAAGAGGCTAGATGCCAAAAGAAGAGAAGACGGTGTTCAAAGTGCCCGTCCTTTTATAATGTCAAGGCTCATTTCACTAGGATCTGTTGCTTGCAGTTCAACTTGTATGCCATCCAGTTCCCTTTTGAATCTATCCTTGGAGCTGGCATAAACCATCTTCATCCTCACCTTTGATGTTTCCGGTGACCTACAATACGAACACAAGAAAATCAACCAAGAAAAGGAAGTAAATCACACAAACGAGACAATGCTAATGTACTTCTAATAGTTAGGCATGAATTATTTTGTACTTTAAATCCATGGTCCTTTATGCTATTACTCATACAAGCATGAAATGTATGCTTGTATATTTGTCCGTGGGATCCTCCTAAACTAACCCTAGACACTATAAAAAAACAATTTTCAAATTTTCTCCCATTTCGAGTTAAGAGATAGATATATAGACAAATCTTATTGGGGGCATCAGAGTAACTGAAGGGCACCAAAGACTAGAATTAAGGTATTTATACCAAGCATTCTTCTCCTGGTTCTTACTGAGAAATATTTTGTTTTCTTTAGCTCTTGCCTCTGGAGATTCTTATATGTTTTGATATGCCCAACACATCATATAGCTGAGATCAGTGCATTGGATAATGGGAAATGAAAATTTTGGATATGGAGAATTCCTTGGCGTCTGATAAAATTTTTGGATTTAATATCTAAACAAAGAAAATAAAATTTTGACCCTGCATTTTTGATGGAATGTGGCTTGAGATAAAGAAAATAAATAATTGACTGATATATTACCAAGCAATAAAGAAAATTTTGCTCTTCTGGCAATTTTCATTAGTAATGAAATCAAAATCAAAGACAGCATAGCGGCACTCATCAGCAGGGAGTGAGGCATTGAAATCCTCATAGCTTTCCTCTGGACCCCCAAGCTTTTCCACCACCACATTTTGGCCCTCAATCTTGAAGATGATGAAACGGTAGTTCCTCTTTGTTTTTAACTCCAAGAACTTCAGCTTACATTCGTCTTCCACGGCCATTCCAGACGCCGCATTCGCCTAAACCACCCCGCCCCCCACGTCTTGGAAAAAAAAAAAAACAATTATTAAAACGAAACCAATAGGAAAGAACAGAAGAGACACAAAGTATGTTGTACAAAAATTGCTAACAAGAATAATGGATAATATTTATTGTGTTAAGGCTTATGATGGATCAGAAAGTCTACTTGTACAGAGTAACTTCCACCCTCTTGTCTCTCTTCTTTTGTGTAAGTTTCTGTGAAAAAAATTATCGCAAATAACACAACTTTTGATGTGGCATTCATAAAACAAGAATGTTCGTGCCAGGATGATGGAGCCTACCAAAGTAATCGTTGTTCGCAATACCCTTTTTTTTTTCACCCAAGTGTCTACACCATGTTGACATGTATTTTTTATTTTTATTTTTATTTTTTCCCCTTCTTTCCCCTTCAAAAAAAACAAAATTAAATGAAATAATAAATATGTCAACCCTGTGTTTGATGCTATGTGGTGCAAAGGAAACACAAGAGCTTCGCGGAACCATTTCTATTATCAAATACCATGTGCTCAAATAATGATTGTGGGATTCCCCACACCACATTGATGTGAGATTCATTTCTTCACAAAAATGACAATACCATCTATAAATGCGAAATTTCACCATATAAATTTTGTCCTTCCATTACAAAGAAATTAAAGAAATGTTCTCTATGGATCTAGAGAGAGAGAGAGAGAGAGAGAGGGAGTAGTACCATGGTGGGCTTTTGAAATCTGATAGGGGGTAGCAAGGTCTGTGAAATGAGAAAGAGAAGAAAGATGAGGGAGATTAGGGTTGGAGAGATCCTTGAATTTGGGAAGACATGAGATGAGATGAGATGAGATGAGAGAGAGAAAGAAGTGGGCAATTTTTAGGTGAAGAGAAAATTGCGGTGAAGGGAGAGTTTTTGAGGGAGGAAGTAAGGGTTGAGAATTGTCCAGGCCTCTCACAGGCTTTAATCATTTCCGCCCATCACTTCACCCTTCCTTGTTACACTACACTACACTACACGCTGTCACTCGCAACATGGCATACCATGCACTGTTATATTGAATTTTTTTTCTCCTGCGTCGCTTCATCAGCATATTTTCCAATTTTTAAGTTTTCTTGCTCACCTTTATTTTATTTTTCTCTACACTATTTTTAAGTTTTCTTGCTCACCTTTCCTTTATTGAGTTTTTTATAACACTAATATTGTTTCCCTCGTCAATAAATTTGCCCACATAAATCAAGACCTTTAGCATGATAGTTTGTTTATTATCACTTTACAATGTAAGGTTGCGAGTTTAATTTCTTTTGAGAGGAGTTTGGCACCTTTTGTAGGATTACTAAACAAACCAAACTACTCGAGCTCAACTCGTATTCGGCTCGTTAAAAATTCGTTCGAGATCGACTCATTATGTAAACAAGCCAAACTTGAACACAATTTTAAGCTTTTAAGTTTTCAAGTAAAACTTTAACAATCTATTGTTTGGTTGAGCTCGACTTGTGTTTGACTCGTAAAAAGCTCGTTTATGATCGACTTGTTATGTAAACAAGTCAAGCTTTAACACAATTTTAAACTCGTTAAGTTTTCAAATAAAATTTGAACAATCTACTTATTCGACTTTCGCTTTCAACCCTAACCCTTTGCGATGACAACAGCATAACAACGCTATCCTATTGCATCTATTACTTAGGCCTCGTTTGGGAACCCTCATTTTTAGCCAAAAAGTCAAAAAGTTACTAAATTAGCCAAAAAGCCAACAACCCATACCAAAAAGTCAAAGATTCTCTTTTCTCTCTACTTTTTGCACATCTTTTCGTAGAAAGTCAAAAAGTCATCCCAAACATACTAGTTTTTTTTAGCTCATATTTTAGTCAAATAGCCAAAAAGTTACTAAATTAGCCTGTTCCCAAACGAGGCTTAGTAGCTTCCCTCCCCATCTCCCGTAGACTCCATTCATTTGTCAAGAATTTTGTGTGAGAAAGTTGTTTTCAATAAATGTGAAGTTATTAAAATAATAATAATATTATTATGTATATAAAAGAACTTTTTCAATGTGCATTCATTGGTCAAGAAAAGTGTATTATTGAAATTCTTTCAAAATTATGTATGTTTTACAAGACATGTGTTGAGATATAACATATCCTATTAGGAAAGTTAAAACTATGAATCCCACAACTTTCAAGTTAAATGAATATGAAAAGAGTAAATAATTTTTTCCGTACTTCACTTTTTTTCTTAAAAATAAATGCACTTCTTTTCTTAAAAATAAATAGATAAATTGAACGTGACAATATGTTCACATTGGAATTCATTTATGACGATGATGTTAACATGTACATTCTAAATAATATTTCATGATTTAATTGTCATTGAAAATACTGAGAAATTAATAAATGCAGTCACCCTATCAAATTTTAAAATTTTCCACATTAAAGCCCCTTCCTTCCTTCCCTCCTTCCTTCTCCCAGAACATTAAAGCAAGGAACCCATATGGCCCAGTACCCCTTAGAAGGCTTTCTTACAATCCAAATGAAAAAAAAAAAATGAAGAAGGAAGACTTACATGTATATCTTAATAAGTAGATTTATTATCTAATAGATCCTATGATAATTAATTTTTCATCAAACACTATTAAAAAATGTTATTAATTGTTATTTTTCGGCAACAATTTAAAAATTGTCACAAAAAATATCACTAATTATAAATTTTAGTGACATTGTAAAAAAATCATCACAAATTTTCTACTTTGAGCGGTAATTTAAAAAATTCATCACAAAAAATGTCACTAATTGTAAATTTTAACTACAATTTATAAAAATCGTTGACAAAAAAAAATTATTATTTGTCAATTTTTAGCAACATGCAACAAATCGTCACAAAAATTATTTACAGTGACAATTTTACTAGAACTTAATTTTCAATGAGACTTGATGAAATTAAATCTAACTATTATGACCTATTGGTAGTTTATCCACATAGAGAAAAAAAAACAAAAACAAAACAAAAACAAAAAACAAAAAAAAAAAAAACCCACAAAAACAGAAGTAAAATACAAATATATTTGTTTAAGAATATGAATTGCCTCTTGTAATTTCTAAGTACTTTCTTATAAAACAATAAAATTACCCAAATTAAATTAAAATATATTTATGACATCATTAAAACTATTAATTGACTTTATGATTTATTAATAAAATGAATCATTTGTTATGTAATTAGAAACTTGAAGGGATGAGATGTATTTTCCAAAACCACAAGACACAATCGGTATTTTAAACAAACTTCAAGAGATGTATTTATTATTTATCCTCAAAAAAATAATAAGAACGAGAAAAATGAAATAATGCTGCGTTTGGCAACATAGAATGCCTCAACTTGAAATTGAATTGGTGAATAACTAGTGGTTGAACTAAATCCAATTACAAAGTGTGAAAACCATGCCATAAAAAGACATCAGCGGTATATTTTGGGAGAATCAGACCTAGCAATTTCATTCCTGAAACAAATCATTCTCCCAACAGAACACTATAATCAATGTCAAAAGACTAGGTCAAAACTCAAAATCAACTTAGACAATTCAATACATTTGGAACATTGTAATTATAGCTTATCAATGTGTTCCATACCAAGACATGAGTTATCAACCTACAAAATTCACTACTTTGGTCCCCTGTTTCTTCTTTGATTTTACATTCTTGTCTTTAAAATCAGTAGCAGGAGCAGGACCACCTTTTGACTCAGAAGATTTGTTATTCTTACTGCTGTGTGCGCCCTCTGTAATGAAGTCATCATCAAGATCATCCCCACTAACAAACTTGGTCACCTGTCCTCTTGGTGTTTCTTCTTCGTTTGCTGAAAAAAGCAATAGATTAGAGTATGAAAACACAGTTCTCCATCCAGATGTCTGTAGCATGAAGTAAAAGCTCACTCCGCATTTTGAATAATTTATTGAACATATAAATCACTCCAAAAGAGTACCCCACAAAGATCAAACAATAGATTAGAGTATATTTAACTCATTTAACCGATGATGCAATCAAGATTGGAGGACCAACTTTGGGAACAAAAACCCTGATCTAGCTTCAAGAAAAGAGATTGTAAAAAGCTGGATTTCTTCTAACTCTGTTACATGCTTAATTTAAGTATTATTATTGGGTTTAGGCTACAATAAAGTTACTTGGAAATTGTTGAAGTTTTCCCAACTTAAGGCAACCTCATCAAGAGGTGGTTGCTTATTAAACTGCTAATAATAGAGTTTACTGCGTCTAAGCAGCTTATCACCTAAAAAGTTGGCTTTCTTTATTCCGAAGTATTTCATCATGAAATAACCCCCTTACCTAGTTCATATATAGAGCAGCATTCTCTGTTTTGAGGAAGGTTTTTAAATAACAAAATTTGAAGAGATATTAAATCCACAGCCACAACGGTTATCTTGTGTCCAAAACATCCTCTATCACATTGTAGGGTCGACCTATGTGAGAACGAGTGTCTTGAGAGCAGCCATTAGAGATGTGGATCTAGCCCGTTCCTAAAATTTCTTAGTCGAATGTTTTCTTGTATCCCAGTTTTCTGTTAGCTTGATTTTGAGTCCGGTAGCTCATGGAATTTAAGCCTTCTTTGCTAGAAATTACAGGATCTGGTCATAAAATCTAAGTATTGCTTCTATTTGGCCTTTATCTAAGTTTATGTGGGTACAGCATTTATCAAATTGCCACCATCCACCAATCAACATTTAGCAATCTACTTCTATGACCTTGGTTTGGTGAAGCCAAGTGTATTTCCAGGATTTTCTCACATCTATAAGCATGTCTGCTTTAACAATTAGTTAAAATGCCATGGTGAGAAGATCAAATGTTTGTACAAATTTAATCAAATGATTGGCTTCACAAACCAAGCAGGATTGTTCAACCTATCTGGAGGGAAAAACTGCAGTGAGCCAGCAAACAGACCTAGCGAAACTAAAAATTGGGGTCCCATTCATAGGAAGAACCTCCGCAAAGGATACCAATCTTATGAATTTTAAGTTTTTTAATGTAGTATCAATAACCAAAAAATACAAAGAACTTAACTGGTATGAAATGAGCAAAAATGATCAAATCCTGAAATATAGCTCACAAGTCCGGATAGAGAAATATTCAACCTGAATATTACAGTGATACATAGACACTACTTGTAACACATCTGCCTATTTGATTCATTGGAGGCACAACTCATTGTACCAAGAAGGAAAAAGGAGCTAAGAAGGGTATTTTAATTAAGCACAAACCACATAATGGGATGGTAAGTCAAAATGTCTTTTTCACATGCACTTTACATTTGAAATTGATACATGAATGGCACAAAATGAGACCAATCCTCTAATCCACTAGACACTGGCAAAAATAAATGAGTTTGTGTCAGCCTGCCAAACATCTTAAACATGAATCAACTTTGTGCATTATCTCTCTGTAAAGTTTATGCTGACAAACAAAAAAACACCATATTTTATCCGCAAAACCCATGATACAACATTCCCAATAATACAAAGTGCCACTTATTGTAAATAGTTTCAGTTAGCTACTTTATTGCATAGCAAATTAATTGATGTTTACAACTATAAAATTTATTACTATAATAATGAAGACGGTGTTGGCACATAAATTTCAACCAAATTTATATTAAAATTTCAAATACGTTCAATCAGTCAATGACACTTATAGAGCCTATGATAGGAATGTTATTCAAGACGTTATTCAAGATACTTAAATGACACGTGGAGCCTACAAAGGATGGCACTTGTAGAGCCTACAGCAAGGACACCACATGGGATGAAATCCAAAGGATCAATACGGTGATGATTAATCAAATATGATGACGCCTAAATTCAAACGGCGTTATCATTCAATTTGAAATTCATATTGAAGATAGTGCGCTCCTTAGTAGCAAGAATCGCACAAACAAGTGTTGTTTCTTTCTAAGAAACGCGATTATGCACTTCTTAGAGAGAAACGTGTAAGTATCGCGTTTCTATTGAGAGAGAATCGCGTTTCTGTTGAGAGAGAAGTGAGGAAAAGAAAAACCTAATCTGGTCTTGCGATTAGGTCTACGAAAGTGAAGCTACTTTCCATGTATTTGCTTCGCAGGCTATTTATCTTCATCTTCTTCGATTGTTGAAAGCAAAATCCCCTCCTCTCTCTCAATCGCTGCCAGACCTCTCTGTCTCTCTTGACTCTCTCTTCCATCTTTTTCTTCGTTAGTATTACGAGACTGAAAAGTCTAACACTTAAATTTATTAATTTTTCTTTATATAATATTAGCGTATGCCTGTGCCTGAAGGCACGGTGTATACCCGTGCATTTAGGCACAGTACAATTAATTAATCAAATTTGTTGCTAAAATATAAATATAGATCCAGTTAGTTTCGACTTTCAAATTTCAAATGAATTTTGTAAAATTATTCGGGCATAAATGCACCCCAATAAATTAAAGTAAAAACTGAAAAAGGTAATTTGTTGTAAGAATATGTCACGTGAACTTTGTCACCGAGGTGGATAACAAAGTTCTTGGTGCTTGGATCTTCAACTTGAATGGATAGATAAAAACAAATGACCCGTGAGAGAGAGAATGAGATGAGTGTGATTAAGAAAAAAAAAAAAATTAGAAAGGATGATGGGTTTAATTAATCAATTGTGGACGATGGGTTGTGATTAAAAAAAAAAAAAAATTTGTGGGTTTGGGAGAATGGAATTCAAATAAAATGTATTAGATTGTTTCATGTGATTTTAAAAATTGTAATCAAATTGTCCCATCCAAATTCTAATAATAACAAATTTTAAAATCAAATGAAACAATTTAAATGATCCATATATAAAAATTAAAATAAAATATGTTATTATTATAATTTCCCTAAAAATGTATTTAAAATCACATGAAGGCACGGGCATACATATCAAAAGGATTAAAAAACCTCAAGCTTCTCAATAACCCACATTAGAATAACGAAAAAGAAGAGAAAGAACTGAAGAAAAACCAATGTAAAGTACCTCTATTTTGGTGTTGAACATGGGTCTTGAAGCCATTATCAAAACCTTGAATCTCCACAGCAAAGACGACTCTCTCTCTCTCTCTCTGAGAACACACCCCTTTTTTAAGCTAAGAATCTTTCATTTTCCGAAGCTAATATCGCCGACGAATTTGAATGGTCTACACTGCGAAGAGAGAGAGGGCGACTGGGGAAGGGGGGCTTGGGGGCGAGTGGTATGTTTTTCAAAAAGTTTTGAAGAGAGAGAGAGCAGAGAATGATTGGAGGGGGGGTTGTTAGAGGCAGTGATGAGCGTAGGTTGTTGCCATGATCTTGGTTGACCACGGAGAAAGGGATGTCAGAGAAGGAGGCGGCCATGGTGGTGTCCAAAATCCAGAGCCCAGTCCACCTATACCGATCAAACCCCCCCCTGGCCGCGCGCGCATGCGCCCCAAAACCCAAATTTGTAATATAACTCTGTTAAATCACATCAGTCTACCCAGCAATTACATGCACCATAGCAAATTTTAAGCACATAATACGTCATTTAAATAGGCAAGTTTGATGTATGTGTATGAATCTGTATGTTGAATTGGGTGTGTGCTGTTTGCTGAATTCGATCTTCCTCTTCAATGGTGGTGGATAGTCGCGGAGTTGCTATGGCAGTAGACTGATGTTGATCAATGGCGATGGTGATGATGAGCAGCGGTGGTGGTGATGGGCGGCAGCCGCATCTTTAGCTACTCTTTCTCTCTTGGTCGATCTTAGGCTAGAACACAACACCCATCTCTTTCTCTGTACTACAACACCATTTGAAGAAGATTATGGGTGATGAGAGAACATGTGGAGAGGGAGTTGAAGAGAACGTGTTTGGTACTTAAACTTATGGGGTGATGAGAGAACATGTGGAGAGGGAGTTGAAGAGAACGTGTTTGGTACTTAAACTTATGGGCAGACGTGGGAGAGAGAGAGAGAGAGAAGAGCGTTTGGGGGGGAGCTAAATGTATCTGAACTATTAATAAAAACTTAGAATTTATCTAGACCATTAAAACCAAATGTATCTCTGATACATTTTGGACATTTTCAAAAACGCTTCTGTCTTATTATATATATTATAAATTAATTTCTTTTCATTTAAGTTGTGCCTTAATATCGTATTTATACCAAATGACTTTTCATTTAACCTTTCTCTTTTACAATTAATGAAATTTTTCCTGCTAGTTGTGCATTGCACGAATACATATAAATTTCACCTAACTAATTTATTATATTGGCGAGATCAAAAAAATAATATATACGTACTTATTATTTTATATTTCCATAACTTTTAAATTCTACCTAACTTTTTTTTAATTTTTTTTTATTTTTTTGTGTGATTAAAATGAATGTCTATTTGCTATTCATTTTTAAAAAAATATTTTTTATGTTGTATTTAATTAATTAAATATTATATAAAAAAAAATTAAAACTCATTTACAGTACTTTTTCTCCTCTCCCTCTCTCTTCTTTTATTTTATTTTTGTAAGAAGATAAATAAAACAAATAATTTTTGACAAAAACATTTTAAAATAGATAGATAAAAAAATAATATAAATATTTTAGAATAAATATTCTATAATAAATGAAAAAAATCTAATAAAAGTATATAATTATAACATTTTAACATATGATTTTTTATAGTACTTTTTTTATAAAAAAAAAATTATAACATATTTTCATTATCATTAGAGGAAAAAAAATATATAATCTTGCAATATATTTTTATATATTATATTATTTAATATATATTCAAATGATCCCTACCAACGATTTTTGGAATGTCTTCAATTCCCCGATCCTGCTCCCACTTTGTACAACTAAGGTGCGCTCTTATCACATAGATGGCCCTCTATAAATACGAGAACCATCACATCAAGAAGAAAAAAAATGAAAGATCAAAAGATCAGGGATTGAAAATCAAAAGTCAGAAAATCAAAGGTTAGAGAGAGAGAGAGAGAGAAAGAAATTAAGAGTTAAAGAAGTTTTCACAAGAAAGAAGAGGAGAAACCCAGACGGTCAATCCTAGATTGGAGAAGTAATGGACCAGAGTGAGTATCATTCTGGTTACCAACTTACCATGTAGTCTTTTTCATTTCAGAAATTTCCAAGTGAATCCATGGTTTTTTTATTTCTGTAAACATGTTCAGTCTACAAACTAAATAATGAAAAATGGGATACATATATCAATACATAATGGTTGGGGGAGCTCTCGACTCTTAAATGATACCATGATCGAGGGATGTCGAAGTAGATATTATCATGTTACGCATTATGTAATTGAATCATAACAACCACAATTTCAAGGGGTCACCACACAGTATTGGGATTACTTACATATTTTACTAACTCCGCTAGCTGCTGAATTAGTTGGGGCAGCTCTTGACTCTTAAATGATACCATGATCAAGGGATGTTGAAGTAGATATTATCATGTTATGCATTATGTAATTGAATCATAACAACCACAATTTCAAAGGGTCACCACACAGTATTGGGATTACTTACACATTTTATTTACTCCACTAGCTGCTGAATTATAACCTTTGTATCCTTTATTAGGACAATCTTTGGCTAAATGTGTTACACCACCACAAACTTTACAACCACCACCCTGCAGAATAATCCATTTTGAAAGATGTCAGATTAAATCAATGAAGCAAACTGAGAAAAATAAGGATTAGTTAAAATAATAGGAAGAAATTTAAGAGAGAGAGAGAGAGAACTCGATTTAGAGAAAAAGAGGCATAAAACCAAAAATTAGGTTTTTCCTCTACACATGTATTTATACTAAGTGAACAAGTACAAAACTACCCTTCACCTAACTTAACACTCCCCCTCAAGTTGGTGCATATATCTCTCATGCCCAACTTGCATACAATGGGATGAAAAAGCTTATTTCATAATCCTTTAGTAAAAACATCAAGTAATTGATCTTTTGATTTTACATAAGGCATACAAATCATGCCCCTATTTATTTTCTCCTTGATAAGATGTCTATCAATCTCGATGTGCTTAGGCCTATCATGCAAAACTGGAATACGGGCAATGTTAATAGCAGCCTTATTATCACAATTCAATCTCATTGGTCCCCCATTTAAAAATCCTAAGTTGGCCGATAAAAGTTGAACCCACATAAGCTCACAAATGCAGGCCATTCTGCCTCTGCAGTCGACCTTGCTACAACTACTTGCATCTTACTTTACCAAGTCACGAAATTCCCTCCTACAAAAGTACATTAACCAAAGTAGACCTCCTATCATGAACTGCACCAGCCCAATCTGAATCAGTGAAGGCCTCCAACCTCAAATGATAATGATTGGAGAACAAGATCCCTTTTCCAAGCATTGATTTGAGGTATCTCAAGATCCGATTAACAGCATCCAAATGCCCTATTCGAGGGTCATGCATGAATTGGCTTACAACACTAACTGTGCACGCAATATCTGGCCCTATGTTACCAAAAAACACTAATACCCTAGCAAATTAAGTATTGGTACACGTTCCAAAACATGGTACACTTTCGTTCCAAAACGGTAAATTTGGTGATCCAAAGCAATCCCAAAAGTTGTTTCCAATATATTTCTTTAAATGTTACCGTAGGAGAAAAAAAATCAAATATATTAACTAAAATCTACAATGAGTTAAGTTTTGACAAGACAAAAATATAAAAATGGGTCATAATTTTCATAGAAATGATTTGCTACATGAAAATATATATATATATATATATATATGTATATATATATTGGATACCTAATAGTTAAAAGAAAATTATTCCAGAAATGCCTTAAATTATATATATATAAGTCCACTCTTATCGTACCACATTAAAGCATGTGGCATACCACATTTCCATTCCCATTTTATGTACCGAAATGATCCACGTCCTAGGTAACATGGATCTAGCCTAGTATGAGAAACATATATTAATCTTCCTACAAGCCTCTGGCATCTTCCCTTAGCCACATGATCTCCATCACTATTGCTAAGTCTGTGATTGGCCTCAATAGGGAAATCTATTGGTCTACATCCAAGCATGCCTAATTCCTCAAGTATATCTAAGATGTACTTTCTTTGGGAGATAAAGATGCCCTTATTTGATCTAGCAATCTTAATCCCAAGAAAGTACCATAAAGGACCAAGGTGTTTTATTTCAAATTCCTTGGAAAGTCGACCTTTGACTTGGGACATTTCTTCTACAACGTTACCAATCACCACTATATCATCCACATAAACAATGAGTATAGAAATTTTATCCCCATACCATTTGATGAACATAGCATGATCAACATGACTATCTTTGTATCCAAATCTTAGCATCGCCTTCAGAAACTTGTCAAACCAAGCTCTATGAGATTATTTCAACCTATACAATGCCTTCTTTAACAGACAGACCTTCCCATCAGTGGTTGGAGAAGAAAATCTTAGAGGAACATCCATATGCACTTCTTCTACAAAATCACTATGGAGAAAATCATTCTTCACATCTAGTTATTGCAATGGCCATCCCAGAATTGCTGCACAAGAAAGGACGCTAATAGAATTTATCTTAGCCACCAAAGCAAAGGTCTCCTAATAATTAATGACATAAGTCTAAGTGAACCCTTTAGCTACTAGTCTCGCCTAATATCTATCAATAGTCCCATCAGCTCTCTGCTTAATTGTGAAAACCATTTGCCACCCACGGATCTTTTACCCGATGATAAAGAAACTAACTCCCAAGTGTCATTCTTACTCAAAGCTCTCATCTCCTCTACCATACCTTCTTTCCACTTAGGATCATTGAGTGCTTCCTTCCAACCCTGCAGAATAGAAACAGGGGACAAAGACGAAACAAAGGCACGGCATGATGGAGATAAGGAATCATATGACACAAATTTGGAAATAGGATGTTGAGTACAAGTTACACCCCTTTCCTGATAGCAATAAGGAGATTTGAATCATCAACTTGATGAACATCATTAACAGGAATAGTAGGAATAGTAACCAAAGACTCATTAACTAAGGACTTCATAGAAGAATTAGTAACTGGAGCCGGAGATGGTGATTGGCATGGCAGCACATAGGTCGATTGTTCTTTGTCGCCGAGGGTAGGTCTTGAGATCTGGCCTATCCAACCTACTAGACTCCTTTAAACAAACTTATTTGTATCCTCCTCACAACAAGTCTCCTCCCCCTCATAACAAATGGTAGGGAAAAACAATATATTAGGAGAAACAATCTTTTTTGTAGTAGGAACCTCCCCCTGAAAAGATTGACCACGGAAGAAGGGTTTAGACGCACAAAAGGTGAACTCCATAGTAAAATAGGCTTTATGAGAGTAAGGATCAAAACATTATAGCCTTTTTGGATGGAGGAATAACCAAGGAATACACACCATAGAGCCTTCGGATCTAGTTTGCTCTGAGTGGAACGAGGAGAATGAACAAAGCAAACACAACCAAACACCTTAGAAGAAAGAGAGATAAGAGGAACAAAAGTGTGGGGAAGAAGGTCAAGAGGGCTTTGAAACTGGAGAACACTAGAAGGCATATGTGGTTAATAAGATATGCAGTGGTGAGAATGACATCACCCCAGAACGGTTTAGGAACGCGCATTGTGAACATAAGAGCACGAGCAAACCCAAGAAGATGACGGATTTTGCATTTGGCAACTCCATTTTGTTCAGGGGTACCAACACAACTGGTTTGATAATGAATACCATGTGCTTCAAGATGTGCCCGAAACACTCCATCAATATATTCAGTGCCATTATCACTCCAAAGGACTTTCATTGGGATGGAAAACTGATTAAGCGCCATCTTATGAAATGTCTGAAAGCAAGAAAAACTTCACTTTTGGTGCGAAGCAAGTAAATCCAAGTTACACGAGAATAACAATTAATAAAAGTGACAAACCATTGATAACCAAACACAAACATAACATGAGAGGGACCCCATACATCATAATGAATAACCATAAATGGAAACATACTTCTTTTATTAACGGAATGATAACAAGAATGTTTATATTTGGCAAACTCACATGCATCACAATGAAAATTATTCCTATGACAATCCTTCACTAAAGTAGGAACAATTTTGTCTAAAACAGAATTACAGGGATGTACTAAACAGAATGAGAAGGATAAAAAGTTATGGAGTAGTTTAAGGACTAAAATATAGTAAATTAGTAGAGAACTGGGAAACATGAAGAACAAACAACAGGGAAATAGAGGGGGGAACAATGAATAGAGCCTGTTCCAGCCACAAAGGAGAAGGACACATCAACAACTCTTACTTTATCCTTGCCTAAACAAGGAGAGTAAGAGTGAAAAAGATTGAACAAACCTATCATATGATCAGTAGCACCAGAGTCAATAATCCAAGGACATGAAGAGACAGCACTCATGGCACTCATAAGAATACTTGTGGAAGGAAAGTTGGAAGGAGGATCAGAAGCAGTGGCATAAGAAGAATCAAGTCGAGCCATCATACGCCGAAGACTGTGTAACTCATCCTAGGAAAGAGCTGCAGAATCACTCGAAGTGCTTGCAGAGGACTCTAAGAGATGAGCATGAGCAAACAGTACCGCCACGACCACTTAAACCACCACGGTCACCACCTCACCCGCAATTAGGACGACCATGTAACTTCCAATAATGTTCCCGATCATGCTTTCTTTTTTTTTCTTTTTTTTTTGGGTAAGTCCTAAAATAAAACAATGAAATATAAAAGTTTACAAAAGGCAGGTCCCAGGCAATTCCTACTGTTGGCTACATATTTTGTAAAAGCTAATCGCAGCTTGACACATGGTACATGAGGGGCAATTCGGGAAATTAATACAAGTCTCCAATCAAAGACAGACACCTGGCAGGTCATATTGGTTATAATGGATCTGCGCAGCACTGGAAAAGCTAGAAGGCGCAAGATGACGTGGCCTAACAGTTACTCATGAATTCAAATTCAAAATCCAAGAGGGAAGCCTAACTGCAAGAATGGCGTAGTGAGACTGACTGTGAGAGAGCATGGTCAGCAATCATGGAAGGATATTTCGATGGTTGGAAGCCCACTTCGACGGTTACCCTTGGAGAGTACAAATTGCAGGGAAGGCCCCAAATTGAAGGACTCAGACTCAGATTTAGACACCAGTTTATTTACTTCATATTTCTTTCCAGTTTTACATTTCAGCATTTCAATTCTTGTACTACACTTCATTTCTTAGGAGCAGTCTCAAGTAGTCGTTGCTGTAAACCTATTCAAGGCTGGGTCATTTTATTGTAAGTTCTTATTTACTCAACGAAATTCAGTTTTTGAATTGTTCTGTACTTGTTATTTCTCATAAATTGTTTCTGAAACAAGCCACCAATAAAAGTCCTCTTCATTGAGGCCGAAAGAACTTCTACACAATCGTCTGATAATTGATTGGCAATTAAAATTTTCTAAGGACTGATTGATCCTTGTTGGCACGCTTCAAAGTACATTATTAACCTTCAAAAGTCAAAAAAAAACCAACAATACCCCAATGTATGAAATACATGGGGAAAGAGAAATGAATGAAACAGATAAGGCTCTTAAACAAACAGAATTTGAATTGAAGGCCCAGCATCTCTTTTTCCAACTAAAGGCTCGT